GGTCCAATTATCCATATTTATAGCAAAACATGCAAGGTTACTTTAACATTAGTGCATATATGTAATAGTTATCATTTAAATCCACCAAGGTCTAATAAGCCTCAATATACCTCAATTAGTGTCCATTTGTATCCTTGGAACTAGAGAAATCCAAGTCCATTGGTGTTCTTTAAATCAAAGAAATCCAAGCCTGGAAGCTTAGTGCATAGTTTGAAAAATTTCGGTTTTAGAGTCACCGTTCGAACAGCACTATTCACATTCGAACGTCTCTTGGTTTTGAAAAATAGGTAGCTCCCAGTACATTTGGTTCTCTGCTGGTTTTGCTGTTCAAAACTCGCACCATTCGAACGTCACTTTACGTTCGAACAGAAAATGCAGTTTATGTTCTGCTGCAACTTCCAGTGCGGTTTTGGCCTGTTTAGAAGTGGAATTGAGAAAATTTCATAAAAACAATTTTGTAGCCCTAGGTGTCTACTACCTAATGTAAAAATTTCAGATCATTTGGACATCACAATAAAACGTTATGGCTCAAACACTAAGCAGTGTCTGAAATTTCTGTGTAAACTGTGTATGATTTCAACCCCAAATCAATCCATTCCAAAACCAATCCAAGGTTATCCAAAACTTATACAACATCTATTTGATACCAAATATAGTCAATACAAGTTCTAATACAACTATTTCCATACTTTTACATGCCAAAATGGAAATTAACCAAAAGTTTTACAAAAACTAAATTCAAAAGCCACAACCCGGCTTTTCTTCAACCAAGAGCCCCCGAATGAGAGCCATCCACCGGAACGTGTCCCGTACCTGAAATTGTTTTCCGTATAGGGTGAGCACAACGCCCAATAGAGATAAACCTATAGAGGTTACTCTTCCCCTAGATGCACATGCTCATGTAATCATCACACAAACATACAACCAAGCATTTCTCACACTTATGCATCCTATGATGGAATGCAACAATGCTATGCCATGGAATGAAGTGACACTCACCCATGCAACTTTATTCCGAGCTCTCTCCGGCTCCCCAACACATGCAAGTGTCAATTTAGTCGAAACCACCATTTATGTTACACACAATGGCGTTAATCACTCTAGGGTCTTGTATAGGGGTGGATGTTCATGGACTTACACCAAGGGCCTCCAACCCACACGAAATTTACGGACTTTGACCGAGGGTTCCGAATACACCCACACACTTTATGGGCCGAGCCAAGGGAGTGCGTAGCCCAATCACCGGGTCTTGCACCCGAGAGGTCGTCATGCCTCTTCTTGCTACCCCAACCCAATTCATCATGCAACCAAGCGGCTTAGCTAAGTCCTCGACCCAACTCTCCCAAGCCTTCCGTCAATCACCAAGTGTGGTATTGACGTCAAACATGCACTCACTCATGTAATGAGACACTTCCGTGCAAATGCAATGTGATGTTCCATTGCACACAAAATAATGCTCAATATGCTTATGACAAACATATAAACATTTTCATACATCAATGCAATTGTATCATAAGTATATAACTACCATATCTCATTATGCTCAATATATCATTTCATGCATATGTCAATAACACTCTTCATCCAAAAACCATATCCTAAGCATATGATTTCACAATCACCCAAGCATGTTATAACATAGCATCATGCAAGTAACACACTCAATTTCACTAGGGCATTTTATCAAACATCTTATAGTCATTCAAGTCATGTATTCACATAACACATTCCAAGGCATAGTTTATAAAACACATAGCATGCCTTAAGTTTTCACCAAGTTACAAAATAATCACATGGAACCTCCATATACCAAATTCAAGCTAGAAGCTAGCCTAAGCTATTCCTATGCTAATTTTTTTCACTTTCATACCCATAGACATATATGTATAACAATACATATGCATATACATAATTTTCACCCTTAGTCTAGCAACACCTAAGGTAAGAATAATCCAAAGTAGGAATAACCCCTACCTCTTAGGAGTGTAGAAAACCCCTAAAACACCAAAACCAACCCAAAAGCTTTGATCTCCAAAAATTCTTCCTTTGATTATTCGGTGAAATTACTTCCTTTTGGTACGTAGACGTAGCCCTTGACGAGGAGAACGATCTTTGTTCTTGGTCCAAGCGGATTTGAGCACTAGAATTATGTAGATCATAGAGAGAAGTTGAAGCTTTCCCTCTCCTTTCCCTCTCTTTTCTATCGGCTGAAGAGGATGCTGAACAATGGGGGAAAAATCTGATTTTTCCCCCTATTTATACTTTAGAACACTTGGCCCACAATTGGCCACATGTCCATTTTTAATTCCGGGTCCGTTTTTGTCCCGAACAATTAAATCTCGCCCCGATTTAAATCTAAAATATTTTTATTTCAATTTATCTTATTTTATTGCCCAAAATTTAAAATTTTATAAAAAAATTCGTGTACAGGGTCACCCGAAGCCCGATCGCTCCGTAAAACGTGAAAAATTTGACTATCTCAGAATTCGACGAAAATTGACGTGGTAACTCGATTTCGCGAGACGAATCCAACGGTGAGGTCCGTTTTGTCTTCCTAGTTACAAAAAATTTCAGATTTACAACCCGAATCATGGTGACAATTTACCATTTTACCCTTTATTCATAAAAGTTTAAATCTACTGGGATTTTACAGTACCGGTACGACGAAATCCAGTGGGTTACTTGTACCAGTGTGGTTTTTCCAGTGGGTAACTCATACGGGTATGACGAGGTCCAGTGGGCAACTCGAACCGGTATGGAGTACCGGTACACCTTCCAAACTTTTGAAAATTTTAAAATCGTGTTACATGTTTTTGGGCTATGAATCCTTTTGTTTAAATGATGCAATTGGAAAATGAAAATGTGGTACATTGGATCTCAGTTTGGTCAAATGACAAAATATGCATATGTTATACGAGTGGATAACAACCCTGGTTAAAGGGGTTTTACTGACGTGATGTTGAATTAGACGACAATCACGAATAATTTCACAGGTTGACGGGTAGTCAACGGTTAATAAAGGACCCCCAGTTTTAGGGGCATCATTATATAGATGTTCAAAAGCTCGAGGTCAAATAGAGTGAAGAATTATTAGAACAAGGATGATACTCAATGATTGGTGCAAACTTTTATCATGGTATGAGATCTTTTAATGTTATTGGAATTTCGTCGTGGGAATATAAAATTCTTTTTTTTGTTCCTCTTAATCCATCATTAAGATAGGTTAGAGTTGAGGATCGATTTTATGAATATTGAAGATTAGAAGCTTGAAAAAAGAAATGTTTACACAATTGGAAGGATGTAATATGAGAAATCAACGCCGATAATTATGCAGATTGATTTTGAAATGAGTGGAGAAACTATTAAACAAATTTTGGGATAAAAAGTTAAGGTAATCCTATATTAGGTATTAATAAATATCATGTGGTAGGTGGTATTATTTTTAACAAGTTTAATATTAAAAATATAATGACTTTATACCCGTGCAAACCTAGATTCAAATCTTCATTTAAAAATTACACATTATGCGAACTCTTGCCTTCAATATTTGCTTTCTCATTTTCAATTTAATACCATATACTATTACTTAATCCAAACATAAATTTGGTATTATAATTATAGATTTATGTTTTATCCCAACCTTGATTCAAACTTGTTACACAAAGGATAAGATCAAATAATACTCATATTAATATCATTTGTATGGGTTGGATGTGAACCAATTACAATCCTCTCCTTTGTTTATACCTGAACTAAATATGTCCTAAAGTTGAACATTGAGATGCGTTTAGCCATTAGTGAAGTGGGTATAGAATTAAGTGAGTATGGTTATTAATAAAACGGGTATAGAAATGGTAGACTGATTAATTTTATGAATTAGAATTTAGGACGAATTGCACTTTATACCTTAAAAATTTTTAAGATTTTCACTTTATTTTATTAAAGATTAAATTTTTCATATTACACCTTTAATGTATCAATAGAGTTTCAATGTAACCTTTTTATTTAATTTTTCGTTAGTTTTTTTATCGGTGTCAATGAGTTGACTTTTAATAGAAAAAATAACATAAACTAACATAAGAGCTATGTTATAGTACTTTTGTTACATTGAGAAAGTAATGTGAAAATTTTAATTTTTAAGACTAAAAGTAGAAATCTTAAAATCTTTCATGAACTAAGTAAAAAAAACCCTAGAATTTAATGAGTTTGAAAACGAAAATTTGTGGAGTGATAACCTGACTCATTTTTTTGTCCCCCTCCTCTCTCTCTCTCTCCTCTCATGCGACGATCTCGGCCCTTTAGCGGGTGTTTGGTAATGGAGTATGGGGGCTTGATAAGATGAATTTGAGAAAAATAGTCCAAATGACTCTCAAATCTCATGGTTAGATTGAAAATTCAAACTCGAGTTTTCAAATTAGACCTGTAACTGACCTAAAGATTACATTTATGATCATAAGTTTTATCGACCCTAGGGAGGAGATGGGTTTGAGAAGATGAGTAAAGAGGTTAAAGATATAAAAAATAATTATATCCCTTCACATGGGTATGAATTATATTAATTAAGGATAAAATAGTTATTTATAAGACAAATAATAATTAATAAATATGATATATCTATGAGTCTTATATCTATATAATAAGATAGGTAGATGTTTGAACTTATGAGGGTATATTTTTTTTCCCAAATTTCACACACTTTCCCTCCCAAATTTTATAAACCCAACACAAATATTCCACAACACATAGTTACACATACTTCAGTACACACTCACTACACATACACACACATTATATATACACTCCAACTATACACATACACTCCAATACACGCATAGTATCATAATTTAATATTTAGTGACTTCAGTCACGGAGTATCGCTAGTGTACATATATTACATGTCAAAAGATAAATCAAATTAAATATTGAATCCCGAAGAAGTTTAAGTTTGAAAGGATTTAATAAAATTCAGTTCAATCCCCCTCCTTAAAATTAATCCAAACATGCCTTACTGCCTCTCAGTTTCTGTCCTCTCAAGCTCGCCTCTTCCCTCTCTAAGGCCCTCGCGCCAGCCTCCGCCTTTCCTTTTCTCCAGGTATTCCGTCTATCTATTCTATCTCTCTTCACGTTCTGCAAACATACTGAAACACGCACACTTATACAAACCCACAAACACATATTTTCACGCCCACAACCAGATTCACACACACAGACAAAATCCACCTATACACACGCACACATTCACAGAGAGATTTGCCCCCCCTCACACACAGAGGGTCACGCACGGACACACTCGCACCCTCAGTTGGATACTGACAGTGCTTTGCCAATTTGTAGGGTTTTGGTGATTTTGGGTTTAGGTTGGTTTGAAGAAATTTTGATGTCATCAATTTTTGGGTTCCTTGGTCTAAACTAAAATCCTGATGTACCATTTGCATTCTGATTGCAGGTATAGAATCAGTTCATCAGTGGCAGGGAGAGGTAAGATTTCCATCTTACCTGGAAATCTTAGAGGTATTCTTTAATTTTATGGGGCCGTCTGTTAATTTGCATTTTTTGATTATACTCTTAGAAATGAAATTTGTATTACAGTAAAGTTTAGCTAGCCCTTAGATAACCGTTGTCAATTTGATTTTAGTTTGGTAAGTATAAAATCAGTGGATTGGTTGTGGTTTAATTTTGCTTTGTAATTCTAAGTTTTTAGTTTCATGTGAGACAAGTTTTCGCCACGATCCTTCTAAGTTCTTTTGCGGTTATTTGATAATCATATCTTCAATTGACAGTATCTGAAATTTGATATGACCAACAGATACCAAAAATCTTATCCGTGTTTAGGTACTTTAGAATCACTCAGAGTTGATACATATCATATGTTCCCATTATTGGGTTTGAATCCAACTTAGGTTTTCATTGGCATTGTGCACTTGGGTTTGGCTTCTGCAGGGATTCTATTTGCTGACGATAAGGATCAGAATTTGGATCCCTCACTTTTGTTGGCACAATGTTTCAATTAGGTAGCTACTCACTCTGACTCGATGCACGAAATTTATATATCAAAGTGCTTTTAGGCTCGGACATTAGCTAGTATATAAGTATGTGAGAAAATTAATTGATCATATGATAAAGTTCAATTGAAAAAGTTGTGATTTGCTATAAGTTAGTAGCATTGAATTGGATTTTGGGATTGAATTTTTATATTTAATGGATTTGAATGTAGATAGGGACAAAAAAATCTGGCAAATAATCGGATGGAATTTGGATTGCATATTTTTATCGGATTCAAAATCAAATCCACAAAAATCCTATCAGCTTTGATTTGTCAATGTGCCTGATCACAACTGCAGCTGCATAAAGCCTCCTTTCACTCCTCGTTCTTGCTTTCAAAGACGCTGCTGGTAAAAGAAAGGCTTTTTCAACATCACTGCTGCAAATCTTTGGATAATAACAACGATGGCAGGTCCTTTGAATAATATCTGTTGGATTTCTATCAGAATCTGTCGAGTTGTTAGTTGTTGTTGATTTTACTGTATGTTTTTGATTCCAGGTGGACAATCGGAAAGAGAAGACAGGGTCTCATTGGAACTCACTGAAGAAATCCTTCAAAGCATGGAAGTAGGCATGGCGTTTCGAGATTATGTACATTTAACCCTATCTCCATTTTCTCTAGCCAGTTTGATAATCTATTTACCTCTAAAAATATTCTAGGACAATATAGAAAATTATTCACCTGATGAATCTGGTTATTTTATTTTAAGTCTTTTTGGTTTAGTTTTAAGCTTTCCAATATACTATTTAGCTTACTAAGAAATGATTGACAGTCAAGGATCAAAATTTCGTTTCGAAATAGTTTGAATTTTTGAAACGTGTCCGTTTTCAAGGAGACCGAAACAAGTTAATAATGGAATCGAAATTCTAATATCTCGATGTGTTTCATAATATTTTGAGGCGTTTTGTATTTTCCAATGCATTTACGCAATTATTTCAGAATGTTTCAAGGTGTTTCAAGATATTTTGGTATATTTCGACCAATGTTTTGGAAAAATAATTCTTAAATTTTAATTTTTTTTCATTTTATTTCCGAAACGAGTCGAAGCGTTTTCGAAACAAGTTGAAACGTTTCCTTTAACTAGGGGACCAAAACAATGCACCGAAATGAAATTTTGATCCTTGTTGATAGTAAATTTTTGAAATTGATGAAGTAAAGTGTAGCGCTAGAAAACATTGTTGTTAGCCTAACTTAATTTGATAAAAATTGAAGCTTTTGACTTTGCTAAAACTATTAGAAAAAAAGAATTGATTTGCTTTATAAGAGTTTGATCGAGTGGCATGCCAGATTTTGTAAAGCTCGAGGGTTTTGATCATCAGATGCTGCTTGGAAATTGAGGTACTGCAGACTAACAATCAAATGCAAGGGGTGATATTTCAAGCTGTAGTATCACGATGTCAATGTTCTCATGGTTTTTTTTTTTTGGGGGGGGGGGGGGGTGATAGCAGATATGTGAATTCGTGTTTTAGCGTGCTTTTATTTTCATTTTTCTATTATTTTTTTTAGTATTTTCAGAAATATAGTGTTGCATTTGTTGTCCTCTAGTGTAATTTGAAAACTGACTTATGTTTGTAGAACAACTTTAATAATTTTCTCTGTTTGTCCACAAAGAATTGAAACACTCACATAGTAATTGCCATGTGCAGAATGGTAGGATCAGTTCAATGGATTTCCATAGAACATCAAGTTTTCTGGTGACTGCTAGTGACGATGAATCCATTCGCCTGTACGATGTCACCAATGCAACGTATACCTCTAGTTTCTGTTGTTTTATTTTATTCAAAGTAAAATGTCTTTTTAGAAGAGTGAGATCAGTTTCTGACATTGTATTATATTGAAACTAAGATGTGTTTTTTTGTAGAATATTGGTGTTATTGTGTGGATTTTTTCAGTTTTTGTCTTATTTCTTCTCCTGACTCTTTCAATTTCAAGCCTTTTCGTTATTTATCATTTGGATTATAACATGATGATCTATGTGTGGTTGGATTATCTTAAATGTGGGTATGTGTGATGCAGCCAAACTATTGATAAGCTTTAAGTTAGAGCTTAGCTATATGGTAGACCAGTGTCGTTTAAGGCATAAGTCGCATCGAAGCACTAAGGCCTCCTGGGGCCTAAGTGCAAGCCACAAAGTGAAGTGTGGGCTTTATCGAAGTGAAGCTTACATTGTAAATTACAACTGAATATTTTCCTTATATCAAAAATTTTTCAGCCAAGTAATAAATATTACAAGTCACAACCAAAGTAACCTAAGAGTACTTAAAATATAATAACAAAAGCATATCATAAATTATGTGGCATCTAAGTCCAAAATTTTAAATGCAGTTAGTCAAATTCATCCAAAGCACAAACATCCAAAGTCATGGAATAAATAAACATGAAGTCCTACTGTGGGTCAATTACAATTAGAGACATAGGTTAAGGTTTGGGTTTAGTGTATATATATTCCAAGGGGTAAAATAAAGTGTGGTAATATGTCATAGAAGTATTATTATAGAAAGATTTATCATAGAAAAAATTTCAAAAAAACAAAAAAGCATCCCATGGACTTTTGCTTAAGCATGAAGTGCGTGCTTTTTGCGCATCAGCTGCATTTTTCTACACTCGCCTCGCCTTGAGTCCTTGAAGTGCTAATCCTCGCTGAGCCTTTGGGCCTAGGCACGCTTTTAACAACACTGTGGTAGACTTTGAAAAAATTTTCATGTTTCTTAATGGAATTGTTGTAGTACAATTCAACTCAACAAAACAAAACCTTATCCCAATATTTTGGGGTCGGTTACATGAATCTTCTTTCACTATTGTGCTTTATCAATGACCATGCTTTCTATTAAGGCTTAAGTTATCATCTCTTTCTGTACTATTTCACTTAAAGTTAATTTTGGCCTACCTTTATTCCTATGTTTACCTTCAATACTTATTATAACACTCTTTCTCATCGGGATCATAGTAGGCTATCTATATATATGTCCAAACCAACTAAGTTGATTCTCGCTTAATTTATCCTCTATATGTGCCAACTCTATTTTTCACTAATAATATCATCGTTAATTCTATCTTTCAGAGGTTTATCGGACATTCATCTTAACATTCTCATTTTTGCTACACTCAATTTGTGAACTGTTGTTTCTTAGTTGGCTTACACTTTGTACTAGAAAACATAGCGGGTCTTATAACCGTTCTATAGTACTTTCCTTTTAGCTTAAGTGGTATGCATTTATCACATAAGACCCCAGATGCATTCCTCCATTTAGTCCATCCTGCATTGATTCTATGAGTAATTTGGGATCTCTTGATGGAAGTGTTGTAATGTTTGGTCAAGTTGTTCTGATAACTCCTGTTGTTTTTTCGTTCAATATGTTATAAGTTTTCTGAGCCATTGTGTGAGAATGTGATACATCGGCATGCATTTTGGAATTTTTTGCAAAATCTTATTTTGTACCCTTGGCCTTCCAAATGGTTTTGCGAGGTTTTGATTTTAAATGCATGATAATACTTATCAGGTAGATTTGAGACCTCCAGATAGAGGTTGTTAGTTTGATCCATATAAGGATGAATGGAGAGTTGGATATATCCTTAAGGATTAAAGTTTATTGCATAAAGATGTCCTTATGTTCTGACCTGAATATGATCAAGAGTGGGCTGATCACTAGGTTAGTAATATTGTAACTTGTTAGTGTTTTGATTGGAGTGAAGTTACATGTGATTCACGGCACTAGTTTACTGACTCTCTTTTTACTGTAGAAAATCTGGAATGGTGAAGATTTTACTGTCTCCCTGGTTTTGTTGGATCATTCATACCATCATATAGTTTTATCCATAATTAAATAATAGATCATTCTTGAATAAATCATCTTTATTGTGTGGGCATTTCCTTCATATTGGCTAGAAGGGCTGAGAAACCTGACCTGCTGCCAGATGTCTGAAGACAATTAATAGCAAAAAGTATGGAGTGGATTTAGTTTGCTTTACTTCGCATCCCACAACTGTCATATACTCTTCGAAGAATGGTTGGGATGGTATGTATATCGGAACAACATTTGTGAGTATATTTTTTGTCATCACTTATTTTATGTGATCAATGAATTCAGAATCGCTGCGGCTTCTTTCATTGCATGACAACAAGTATTTGCGGTACTTCAAGGGTCACCATGACAGGCACAATTTCCAACACTGTTGACATTCCTTTTACCCCCTAGTCCTCTACCTACAGCTTTTGCTGTATAATGTTCGAAGATGTGTGAAAGTGTTATTGTTGATTTTTCTAGGGTTGTCTCTCTCAGCATGTGCTCTCGAAAAGAATGTTTCATCTCTGGTTCTCTTGATCGCACTGTTTTGCTTTGGGATCAAAGAGCTGAAAAATGCCAGGTAAATACCTCGGCTGATGCTCTCTTGGAATTGTGTTTTTCTTCAATTTGGTAACTGATCCATTCTGTATTTTAGGGTCTTTTACGTGTTCAAGGAAGGCCAGCTACTGCTTATGATGATCAGGGCCTTATCTTTGCTATTGCTTTTGGAGGATACATAAGAATGTTTGATGCTCGCAATTATGAAAAGGTTAGGATTGGATTCACAGGAATGTCTTAGAGGCCGGTAGTTGATAGAATAATTTCATCTATAAATTTCAGTTGTATCTATTTGTTACATCAATATATTTTAGTTTTAGCTAACACTAACTTACTTAAATATGATTACTTAAGGGCCCTTTTGACATATTTTCTGTTGGGGGAGATATGTCTGATGCAAATATAATCAAATTCAGCAACGATGGGAGACTTGTACTTTTGACAACTACAGATGGGCATATTCACGTGCTTGATTCATTTCGTGGGACACTTGTGAGTTGTTTTCATCCTTTCATACAAGCTTTTGTCTGAAATTAGTTGTATAGTGAATATTCCTTTTTGATGTGCTTTTACGCTTGCTCTTGATATAGTTATGGACATACAATGTCAACCAGTTTCGAGCAATTCCACTTTGGAGGCATCTTTCAGCCCTGAGGGAATGTTTGTAATATCAGGTAATGCTACTGTTCTAACAGCTATGTAGGAAGACATTTTTCAAACAATTTGTATTGTATTCTTTTTACTTTTTTGAAGATTTGGAACTTACAGATACTAGTTTGTTATCAGGATCCTATCTTGGATCGATGGGGGAGGTTACAAGATTAGGATCGGAGTGAGATTGTAAGATCTTATCAACCGAGAGAATAAGACAAAAATATATTTAGCAATACAAAATTTTCAAAAACAATACTTGAACAAGCCTAATATTTATGCAAATAGGAATATAACGATAAAGATCAAACTTAAGCTATGATTGAAATTTGATAAACTACAATTTCAACATTGAATAAGGTTTAAGATCAAAGATGGACTGTTAATCTTGTGAGGTTGTGCAAAGAGGAATAAAAAAATCAAGTATTTTTATCTCAACTTTCAAAGAAGAGACTAAAAAGTTGAAAAGTTTTTGGATAATAACTTTTGACTATTCGACATTCAAACCAAAAAAAAAAATAAATAAGGGAAAAAAAATAAAAGACCATTTGGCTATGATCACTCACCGTGAGAGAAGATTAAATTAAACCATTGCTTTTAACTTTTTGAGAGATGAATGAAAAAAAAAAATATTTTTGAAAAAACAACTTCCAGTAACTTTTTTCATCCATTGAAATTTCCCAATACACTTACAAGTACATAAGGTATTCACATTTGTATTGAGTACTTAACTATAAAAATAAAGTATGGATTGAATTGCTCGATAACGAAATAAGTCTACC